CCCAAAAAATTTTATTTTTCGAGATTTTATATTATAATTTCATTTTGATCTGGATTTCATTATGATCCGCCACATTTTATCATAAGCCGATTTCCATAATTACATTAATATTTGATATTAACATGATATTTACATTGATATTTACATTGATATTTATAAAAACAATTCTTTTAGGGAACTGATATTTCCACAACCTTGTAGATCACTCGTTTTAAAACTTTGATTTCGGCAACCACATGATAAAATTCTATAAACTTTTTTTTTATTTGAATTCTATGGATCATAGAATTCGATAAAAAAAGTTCATCGAATTTCATTAAGTGGTTGTCGAGATACCTTTGATTAAATTCATGCACAAATTTGCCGCGGCTTACATTCTGATAGACGTTTTAAATTTTTCTAAAACTTTCATCAAAGATATCTCGACAACTACCCGATGAAATTTATGAACTTATTTTTTTTGAATTCTGTAATTCCATAGAATTCAGATAAAAAAAAAAGTTCATCGAATTTCATTAGGTAGTTGTTGAGATATTTTCGATGAAAGGTTTAGAAATTTTAAACGTCTATTAAAATGTAAGCCACGGCAAATTTTTTCATAAATTGATTGAATTTATCTTGACAATCACCTGATAAAATTCGATAGAACCTTTTTTTATTTGAATTCTATGAATCTATAGTATTCAAAAAAAAAAAAAAAAAAAGATAGTTGCTGAGATATCTTTGATTAAAGTTTAGAAAAATTTAAACCGCGACATATTTGTGCATGACTTTGATCGAAGGTATCTTGACAATCATCTAATGAAATTCGATGAACTTTTTTATTCGAATTCTAAGAAACCATAGAATTCACACAAAAAAAGGTTCATCGAATTTTATCAGGTGGTAGCCGAGATACTTTTGATCAAATTTGACAAATAAGTGATCTACAAAGGTAAATATCAGCTCCCTTCTTTTATTGTCGCATGCTTTATGTTTTTTTTTTTTTATTCATTATATTCGAATCGACCTTTACCGCTTTTATTACATATTTTCTTCAACCTTTATGAATTCACAAGAATATGACTTTATGATTTGTGAAACCTTTAACTGAATATTAGAGACACTCATTAACAAAAGGAAAAACAAGCGAAGCTTGATGTCAAAAGTCATTATAATGAATTTTAAAATGTACAAAAAAATCCAGACCTTCAGCGTAATGCGAAGTTCAAATATTGGACTGTTAATATTTTTAAAGTTTATCGTATTGGTGCAACAGAAAAACTGCATCTGCCTAAACAATATAAGAATAACTTGAGGACACAAGTTTGTTATATCAAAACGTTTATGAATTAATTTGTGCTGCCCACCAAGCAACTGAACACAGCGGCCATGAAAAAAGGTAAATTTATGTTTGTTTTTTTTAAAAATAAAAATAACAATAATAATAACAAGCTTCTTATTAGATTCGGGTTAGATACTGCAGCAGTTAGTTGAGAATGTGATTAATGAATGCAAGTGTGTATTATTCGACATATTTCTAAAAGAGTTTCATCAATGCGCCCGAAGGTTTTCTAAATCATGTTCAAGTATGTGTGTTATATTAACTTTAATGAATAAATTTATGTAGTTAAACAAAACTTAAATTGCATTAGTTCGATACTATCAGCTCTTTTAAATGTTAAAAGAAACCATGAATTTATTAAAAGCAAAATTTAGTCCTTGACAATTGGTACTCAGCAAATAAACTTGAACCACTGGGTACCCTTCATTATCCTGATCTCAACGCTGCACCACTAAATAACATACTTTGTTAAGAGAAGCAGGTGCCAGACAAAACATTACATTCCCAACTTGTAACAATGGCGGATCGCTTTTTTTTTAGAGTTAGGTTAGAGTTTAGGGGTAGTTTTATTAATAAAGAGTACAAGTGAATTTTAGTAGGTATTATAGTTTAAATAGAGACCCCCAATCTCAGCTTCAGCCAAAATAATAATAATAATATTATTATTATTATATTTTTGTAACATTAGTGTTACAAAATAATATTGGTTCAAGTCAAGACACCCGACAAGAAACCTGTTGTTGACAAAAAACAAATTGCGGCAACAAATCATGTTCCTGTAGAAAAAGGAATTCATTATGCTCAAGAAAATGCGGATGAGGGAAATGCAAATTCTTCCAATTACATGGCTAAATTATATATGAATATTTGAACTTATTTGTTAATGCATGAAAATTTAACTAGCAATTAGGCAAACATCTAATCATTTTTAATCGCTTTTTATTTAAATTTATTAATTTTTCGTTTAATAGTATGAAAATTTATCTAGTAACTAACGTTAAGAGAGCATATATTAACTTATTTTTATTCGCTTTTCTTAAATTTATTTTATTTTAATTAATTGTCGCAGCTGATGCTGAAATTTTGATAAATTTTTTTGGGGTGTTTTTGACTGCTTTTTTTTAGGGTCAGGTTAGGATTTAGGGTTAGAATTGATAATTAGAGCAGTGATGTTAATTTTGGCTTCCAGTGGGAATTTCTAGCCTTCCAGTGAAAATTTCTAATAGTAAAAGTTCCAGTGGTACTATTAATTTTTGCTTCCAGTTAACAACGCTGAATTAGAGCATATGTGAATTTTAGCAGGGCTTATATTTCCCCAAATTTCAGCATCAGATGCGACATTAAAATTTTTCAATCTTTTTTTTTAATCGGTAAATGGAAACCGATTCTAAAACGACCTATTTCATTTCACGATTCACGAATGACACGTGCCAATTCCGGATCGACTTAAATTCCGTAATGACGTGTCCAATTTACCATTTCGTGTAATCCGAGTTTCCGGACTTAATTAATTATGCCCGAAAATCACCAAATTTTGGCGAAGTTTACCAATAAACCCGCTAACCGAAGTTCGTAATTTTGCTATAATATTAGTTAGCTTTATTAGGCTTGTATTAGTGCTTCGCAGCTCCGATCCGAGGTACGAATCTTAATCGTCGGATCGAATTCCGGAAGCTCGGGTTACACTAAATGGTAAGATTTTTTGGACATCACTAACCTATTATAAAGTAAAAATGTAACACAGCCCTATTCTCATGTGAATTAATCTACAAATCGATTACGATTAGTAATAATTTTTAAAAGCTGTTTTTAGACAATTTCTGATTTTTGACTTAGTACGTACGTACGTAAGTAAATCGATTTTGAGATTATTTTACATGGAGAATATTAAGCAAAAATTATACTTTTGATAGTGAAATGTGTGAAACGTTGCATCCTTAAAAAATACTATATATAAATGAATGTTTTAGTACGTATAACAATAATCCGGCCTATGACATCAATTAAGGCTGGTACAGGTGGGCACAACGATAATAATTAATTAATCTTTTTTTATATGTATACAGAACCTGTCCACCAATAATAAAGTTCAACCGAATGTTACGTCAAAATCAGTTCATCAAAATTGAACAGTAACTAGTGACGTAATAAGACTGCATTAAATACATCGTACAAATACCCAATTGCATAAACTGATCATTTTAAATTTAAACGCAAAAAATGTTTCATCTTGAGAATGGCAAATCTTGCGTTTTTTTTTCTCCAGCAAATAAAAAGCTAATTTTACGATTTTAATTATGTGCTTAGAATGTCACTATTATTTTTCCTAATGAAATCAAAGAACTCTAGACTCATAATAATTGTTATGTTATTTCTTGTGTGGCTTGTCACAGTTATTCTTAATTCGAATCCTGTGTCATCCAGACGATGGCAACTTAAATCAATGGATAAGAAAAATCCATTTCCGGAACTGCCACCACTTTCAAAATGCAAAATTTCAGGAAACGTTCGGTTTATTCCTCAATATAATATCGATAATCTTTTTACAGAGGTTCTGGATGGAAACGAAACAATCGTTGATGGTGTGTTCTCTACACCGATTGGAGTATCAGGAATAAAAACAATAAGTGGAAAGCCTGTTTATACTGCAGAACTGTTGAATATGGATGAAATAATGATTTATGATTTAACCGTTCCGGTATTTAATAATGCTATCGAATTAGTTACTCCTGTTCCTTATCTTGCACCTTTAACTATTTGTGGGAAAGATTCAATAATTGGGAAAACTGTGGTTATTAAAAGACAAGGTAAAGAAATTGCAAGAGCTGTGATCTCAGCATTGAAATCCTTTGAACGCTTAGTGGATCCAAATTACACGTAAGATGGAGGTGGAAATATGGGTTAAAAAGAATGGTTGTTCCCTACAAAGAGATAATTATATTTTATCTATGTATTGTATTGTATGATAGTCATATATTTAAGAATACATTTATCCAAAGATTTGGTTGTTTGGAATTAATGATATCGATTTGTTGATGGTTTACTCAAATGGAAATTCTATTCAATCGACCAAACAGTGAACAGTTTTCATGTATTGAGCCTTCATACTTTAATTAATTAATAACCTATATATGTAGTTTTAATCTCTAATATCAAATACACTATAAATTGGATTACATAACAAAGCTTCGTAGAATATCTTTATAAGATATTTTTACATTCATTAGATGCAGAGAATGTGATTCTAGTTGATAATTCTGGTTAAGAACACAAGTATGACCCAACGACGATTTAAATTCTATGAAGATATTATTGTACAGTGTCACCATTAAAAATCTCAATAAATATCTGTGATTAGAGATAGCATTGATCTATCCATTTATTCTATTTTATATGTATACGTGGTCACTATCCTTAAAGCTCAACTTTCGTTCATCTGTTCGTCCGTTCATAAATGCGTCGGATATTGGGATAAATTAGGTAAGAATTATCTCGTCGACCAGAGACTTGATCTCTCTTTTATTAGATATAACGCAACAAACTCGAACTAAAGCTCAGCTTGCCAATAACAACATGTAAATGATCTTGTATGTACAGAACGGATAAGCGTCATAGTGGAATTAGGTTCTTGATGATCCAAAATGTTCTCTAGTAAAGGGGTCGTTTAAAGCAGGGTGCGTTCACGTGATATATGGCCAATCAACTTGTTTGTTTTGGTCAACCCGGCCTTTATGCCTTTATCTAAATAAACAGTAGCGA